TGGACAGAGGAGCCTGGCAGACTACAGTTCATTGGGTCACATGCAGTCAGACACGACTGAAGTAGCACAGACACACAATAGTGCATTTTAGGGGTGTATCACAGTTCATTTATTCTTCTCTTAATTAAGAGATGTTTTCACTGTTTCCAGTTATTTGAAATTATGAATAAGCTGCTGTGGATATCCACATAAAGTTATTGAAAAAACAAGCAAAGCAGAAAAATATGAAATAGCTATTTTTAAGATACTAGATGTCAGAAACAACAGTGATCAGTGACAGACGGGACACAGAGAGGCTGAGCCCTAGGATTTTTCACATTTATTACCTCTAAAAGTTTCCATCTGTGATTCAGAGAGGGACCCCTCAAATAATCCTGGTAGACTTCCTGAGTTGTGTAGGTGCAGTTGAGGGTCTGAGATCATTAAGACAGCCAGAATACTCAGAGTACACTACTGCAGAAGATACACCTACAAACCTGGGTGGCAAGACTGTGGTGAGGGCATAGGGAAATGGAGATGCAGAAGTAGAGGGAGAGAGAAAATGAGAGACTGAGGGAAGAAATGCTGGAGAAATGCCAAGGGCTCCCTTCAACTACTTATCAGCGTACTGACTGGTGCATGCATCTGAGGTAAGTTCCTGAGCCTGGACAAAGACATAGCCAGAAGAATTAGAGAGAAGAATGCTTAGTGCTTACCCACTGGGCCAGAAATAGTGCCTATCTTAGTGAAAACCCTCAGATTTCAAGGGTCCAGTGCATTGAGTTCAATATTGAAGAATATTTTGCTTCAGTAGTGGGACATGATTATCCCTAGACTGAGCACTTTCAAGACATGGACATAAACTCTTTCAGCAAAAATTTCAAAAATTCAAATTTTTTTGCTAGCTTCCCAGGTGGCACTAGTGGTAAAGAACCCACCTGCCAATGCAGGAGACAGAAGAGAAGCTATCCAAAAGAACCAAACTAAATATTGTGTTCAGAATTCTGTGTCTTTGTTAATTTGTGAGATTAATCTGATTCCTTTCCTTGTGATGCCCTTGCTTTGTCTTTTATGAAGGTCATGCTGGATGTATAAAATGATTTATAAATTAATATTAATTATTTTTCATCTCTCAAGGTGTTTAAGATTGGTTCTATTTTTTTTGATTCATTGTTATATAGAGTTATTGATAAAACTATATGAGAATTAAGTTTTCTTTTGAAAAGGGAAGGATTCTAAAAACTTTACTTAAGTATTAGATTATTCCAGTTTTAATGAATTTGTGTGTGTGTTTAGACCATTATGTTCCCTGTAGCAGTTTTCCATTTTCTTTTAGTTTACAAGTGCATTGCCACAATTTAATATGTAATATCCTTTTTTTTGTTTTTTAAGATCTGTCAACTCTGCAGTGATGATCTTATTTTCCTTTTTTAAAGACCCTTTTTGAGCACCATTTTAAAGTTTTTATTGAGTTTATTGCAATATTGTTTCTGTTTTGCTTTGTTCTTTTGGCCTAGAGGCATGTGGGGTCTCAACCCTCTGACCACGGACTGAACCTGTACTGCTTGCACTGGACGGTGAAGTCTTAACCACTGTATCACCAGGGAAGTCTCCCATCTTCATTTTTGGTACTGAGAGTTTGCTCTTTCTCTTAATTTGTCTTAATTTGTAATTTTATTTATTAAAATTTCTTAATGTTCTTAATTAAAAATTAATTCTTAATTTTAAATTTTTATTTTCTCTTAATTTTTCTGTTTTTCTAGATGTTATCAATTTTATTAAACTTTTAAAGAACTAAGTCTTGGTAGTATGTATTTTCTCAATTTTTCACTTACTTTTACTTCTGTGATTTCTGTCTTCTATTTATCATTTTCATTCTACAATGATGTCAGGGTTTATTTTCCTTTCCTTCTTCTTGGTTCTTGAGATAGTAGCTCAAGATGATAGTTCATTCCTTATAAAATATCTTGTCTTCTAAAACTTGCATTTAACAAGATAAATGTATGTTTTAGCACTCCTTTAGCTGCATTCAGGTACTTTATGCATATTTATACTTATATGCGGGGCTTCTCCAGCGGCTCAGCAGTGAAGAATCTGCCTACAATGTAGGAGACATGAGTTTGATCCCTGGGTTGGAAAGATTCTTGGAGGAGGGCTTGGCAAATGACTCTAGTCTTGTTGCCTGAGAATCCCATGGACAGAGGCACCTGGCAGGGTACAGTTCATAGGTCTGTAAAGAGTTGAAAATGACTGAAGTGACTGAGCAAGCAGGCATGCATGCTTGTATCAATATATTATATGTAATATGCATTATATATGTATACTATGTCTACTATGTCTACATTATCTGTATACTATATATATATATTATGTATACTTACTTATATATCTTTCAGATATCTTTTATATATATGTGTACCATTATCTTTCTATTGAAAGTTTTTTTTTTTTTTTCAAAATGTTCACAGGTAATTTAGGCTTGTGTTGTTTAATTTGTAAATAATTAGAAAATTTTGTATCTTTGCCATCAATTTATTTAATTACATTATATACACACATGTATATATATATATATATATAAAATCATACAGGATATATGTATATATAGTATGCATATCCTGTATGATTTAAGTCCTTTGAAATGCACTGCAATTGTGTCATAGCCTAAGGTATTGTTTCTTTTGGTGAATGTTGCATGAACATTTAGAGATGAGTGGAATATTAGTCACACAAATATTTTCTCTTTCCACATCACCATACTGACATATATTCTATCAACATGCCTGTCTGAAAATTTGTGACAATTTTTTTTCTGTATTAGAAACAAGTTTTAAATGACTTATTCTGAATTGAACGTTCATCATCTTCTGGAAATCAGACCAGAGGTAAACTTAAACAGATTTGCCTATTTTGAAGGTCATGATTTAAATAAGAAAGTTTTTGTGTATTTCATTTCTGTCTAGTTTGAACTTTTCCCTTTTGGTTACTTTACGTCAAGTTATTCTTCAGGGATCTTCCTCCAGAGAACCAGTTTCTGTAAGTCCCGTTCTGCATGGTGACTATCCTGGTGGCATCTCTGGAGATACCTTACTCTCTAAATTATGATGAAGGTTCCAAAAATTTAATCAGACAAGAATCACCCTTGGAGATGGACCAAATGAATGACTCAATAATATGTGCTGCTATTAAATGTAGATAAAATATTTGCAGACCTTTGCTCTTACTCAGAGGTTATTTGTCTCTACCATTAATCACATGACAGACTTCTTCACAGATTGAAATGATGGACTCAACATATAATAAAATATGTATGTAAAATTGTTCTTTATCTTTCAGGAAACCCATAAGTTAATAACACTATATGAAGATAGGACAGAATAACTGATTGAAAATCAAAGTGTTGTAAAGTCAATTTCACTATTTCAATTTTAATTGTATAAAACATGAACAGCAACATTTTCATATAAACAGTCATACACAATTTGGAGTTTTCTCTAAAACCAAAATGTTGATTTAACTTTCGTTCATTATCAGGACAAATCCTGTGAACAATAAGTATTTTGGTTTTCTGTTAGCAATCAAGATTCAGAGTTCCTTATGTAATACAGTATTCATATTCATTTTCAAATTTGCAACAATTTGAAAGGCAATATGTTTCTGAATGACTGAATTGAATTGGATTTCCTACAAGCATTGAACAAGTTTGCCTAATGGAAACAATCAATGTCCAGCGATGCTACATTTACCATACTTTCTTTGTTCTTGGTGATAGAATCAGTGCCTGAAGGACAAGAGAGAAAGCATCAGAGAACAGAACGTAAATCAAAGGAAGATCTCATGCAGGTAACCCAGGAAGTGTCTTTATGCACTAGTCTCTGAATTAGGCTTTACACTTTGCAAGAGTTCACTGGTGATGTGAGAATTCAGTCATTTAAAATGTTTTCTATGTGTTTGTCTTAATCAGATATTTTAGGGATCCTTCGTGACTACTAAAATATGTGGAGATTGATTTATTACAGTAAAACTCATTTGGATATTTCCATATCATAAAGATTCAGAATAAATTTACCATCTCTAACATCAAATATTCTTATAAATTCATTTTGAGTGTATCTACCTGGGGATATTTTAATGGGCAGTTATTTCTGAATCTCATGATAGGTTTAACTGATATGTCCTCTGGGCATTATTTATTGATCTCTTAAAAATTAGAGGATGATGTAGCATCTTTATACCTTGAGTGGTCTTCACAACATCAAGATAATATTCTAGTAAGCACAGTGTTACTTCAATTCTTATTTTTTCTGTTCACAGGTGAGTTTCAGCATCCTATCATATATTTGTTAGCCATTTAAATGTATTCCTCTCCAATTGTTTATATTTTTCTTTAATATTTTATTTATATATTTTATTTATTAATTGATTAGAGATATTGGTCTGTTTTAGGTATTACCTCTGTGTATATACTCTAAAATATAAATCATTTCCACAAATTGCCTTCATCTGTCTACATAATGGTATCTTCCCAAATCCTTAAAAATTTTTGAAATTCTCAAATCTATCTATTTGGAATTTCAATGATTGCTTAAGCAGCATCCTCCATCCTGGGGATGTATAAAGTCATTTTCTTTATTAACCAGAATGTAAACATGGAATAAATTGTGCCTTAATTTTCTTATTAGATTTTTATCAATTTTTGCTTTTAAGTAAGGTATTAATTATACATACAATTTTATTAGCTTCAAGATGGGAAGGTAGTTGTGGCAATTAATTTATTTAATTATGTGTTCTTTTCCCACGTATGTCTCTTAATGACTTGCCTCTCCATTACTGTAAAAGATTCTTGAGGTTATGGATGATTTTTTAATCAGGCTCATCTTATGATGTGTTAAAGTACTGGAGCATGATAACAATTGCTTGAATGAATAAACAAATTATCTTAAGATTTCAAGAAGTTGCTAGTAATAATTATATTTACAAGTAATTCTGTCCTGAACTCTGAAATAAAATATAGAGAAGAATCTATGGAACAAAGGAGCAATGTAACTGAGTTTATCCTTGTAGGACTCACTCAGAGCCCCCAGGGTCAGAAAGTATTGTTTGTGGTGTTCTTGCTCATCTACATTGTAACAATGGTGGGCAACCTACTCATTGTCATGACTGTGGTGATCAGTCCAACCCTGGATGCCCCTATGTACTTCTTTCTTGGCTACTTATCATTTATGGATGCTGTTTACTCTACTACGATCACTCCAAATATGATTATAGACTTAGTGTGTGAGAAGAAAACCATTTCTTTTGAAGCTTGCATGGCTCAGCTTTTTATAGAGCACTTATTTGGTGGTGCTGAGATTTTACTCCTGGTGGTCATGGCCTATGACCGCTACGTGGCCATCTGCAAACCCTTGCATAATCTGACAATCATGAATCAGCGGCTGTGTGTTCTGCTGCTGCTGTTGGCCTGGGTTGGTGGGTTTTTGCATGCTGTAATTCAACTACTCTTAGCTTACAACCTTCCCTTCTGTGGCCCCAATATCATTGACCACTTTATGTGTGACATGTACCCTTTGTTAAAACTGGCCTGCACTGACACCTACATTATTGGCCTTATTGTGGTTTTCAATGATGGAGCAATCTGTGTGGTCATCTTTACTTTCTTACTTATCTCCTATGGGGTCATTCTGCACTCTCTGAAGAATCTTAGCCAGGAAGGGAGACGCAAAGCCTTATCCACCTGTGGCTCCCACGTTACTGTGGTGCTCCTCTTTTTTGTGCCCTGTACTTTTATGTATGTGACACCTCCTTCCACCTTACCAATTGACAAATCTTTGGCTGTGTTTTACACCATTATGACCCCTATGTTGAACCCTCTAATCTATACTCTGAGAAATGGAGAGATGCAAAATGCCATGAAAAAGTTCTGGATCAGAAAACAAAAATAAGGCAGGCAGCAGGAAAGCACATTACCTATTTTCCCTGAAGATTTGCTCTTTCCAGGAAAGTCATGTGTGACTATTTAACTGTAGTAAATTTCTCCACAATTCTAATATATTGGACATGATGAAAGTGTTTATTCTGTGAATGCTTCCAATAATCAAAGCACACTTTTAAGATTTTCATAACTTCCTGGTTCATACTATTTTGTTTAAAATATATTTTTATGATTGTTAAATTTCTTAGGAAATGTTTTTAGTTTTTGGTGTAAAATCTCTCTATTGAGAGTATAGGCTTATATTTTTATGATGAGTTAAATTGTAATCAAAACTGTAAATTTATTTTTTCAGTGGAAGATATTCTTATGTTTTTCTCTCCAATAATGTAATCTTTCAGAATTGTAGGACTCAATGCAAATTTGAGAAAAATAAAATAAGACAAAACCTTGGAATACTCTTCCCCACATAAAGACTGTTCATATTAATATTTGAGGTATATGTCTCATTTTTTATCTGCAGACACTTATTTTTTTTGTCCATATGTTTAGCATTTTAATATTGAAGAAGAAGAAGATTTCAGAGTTACAATGCTAATTATAAAGAGGATGAGTATATAAAAATAATCTGAGTGAATCAGATATATACACAGAAAAATAACTGAATCATACTAATTTTTCTGGTTGGGCAATCATAGCATCTTCTCAAGTGGAACAGCTTCATTTGGTGTTATATTTTCATAAATGTGATGCATTCACTTTCCAGATAGTTCAGAATATCTTATCATACTTTTGCTATTTTTCATTATTCACATCTCCAACTTTGCTTATTGTGTTTCATTTTTTTTAAGACCCAGACTCTGCCCTTTACAGGTAAAGTTAGCATAATCCATAATCTATGAGCTTCAAATATGCAGTATAGAATTTGACAACAGAATTTGGGTGATATCATTGGCAAGACAGATACTGACAATACAAGCCACTTTTATGTCTTTTATCAATGAAATACAAATCATTAGGAAGTAATAGTTCAGAATAAAGTGTTTTATTTGACAGAGACATCACGCATGATATCCTCTCAGTCTTTCTGGATCAGGCTTGAAACTAAACATTATCTGCCTATAATATGTTGGAAGCATGTAGTTAAAGAAATTAATTTGTTTCTGTCTCTCTTGTTTAGTCTGGATTCATGCAGGTAAAGCTATGAGGCAATTGAGGCTTTTCATAGGAAATTGTGCTATATGCAAACTTTATATTCTTATGTTTATCCTTACTGTCATTACATGGAACTTTTTGTTGTTGCTATCTTTATGTCTTCCCCAGTGTAACACCATTCATCAAGCAATGTCAAACATTTGAGTTGATCTGAATATGAAATTCATTCTCCCTCTTTGGAATGTTCCTATAGAGTTGAATGTTTTTTCTTTCTCCAGATTCCTACTTTAAATCCTTTACAATGTAGTGATTATTTGGAAATAGGCCCTGTGGGAAATGAGTAGGTCATGAAGGTGAAGCTATCGTGCATGAGATTAAAGTTGTTGAAAAAGAGACCAACCCCAGTGAGCTCATGAGACCCTTCTGTCATGTGAGGGCAGAGCAAAGATGGCTGCCTATGAGCCAAGAAGGGGACCTCACCAGATATCAAGTCTGCTGCAGCTTAAGCTTGGATCTGGGCCTCCGAAACTGTGAAATATAAATATTTGTTGTTTAGACTACCCATTTCATGTTATTCTGTAAAAGCAGAAGTTAATTTTCAAATCTGTGTATTTATTTCAAATGATGAGATCAGAATCTTTGTTAATTGTCCATGTTCACTGATCAACAAGCTCTGTGAACTGAGGGAACATTACTTGTGTTTGTATTTTCTGTTTTTTGAAATATGTATGGGATGTAATGTCCACACATAAACTTTGCCAGTTATAAGTATCCTTGAATTTATGATCTATCAGGGTGAGAATTTTTATTGATAAAGTTTAATTGATATATATATATATATTTATATGTATTTGCTACAAATATTAACTCTTGTTTGACATGGGCTACAAAGATTCATTTCGTTATTACAATTTCTTGTGCTTTAAATAAATATGTCATAATTTAATATTTTCTTACCCTTTGATTACTTGGATATTTTTATTTCCTTTCACTGACTTTCTAAATTTTAACCTAATTTAAAAAAAATATGTTGTCAAAATACTTAATTTTTTAATCCATCTAGAATTTATTCTTGATTGTAATGAGGAAATATCTAAGCATATTTTCCTTAAACAGATAAAACAATCTACCAACATTATTGGAGAAGGAAATGGCAATCCACTCCAGTATTCTTGCCTTGAAAATTCCATGGACAAAGGAGCTCATGGGCTACAGTTCATGGGGTTGCAAAGTGTCAGACATGACTGAAGCAAGTGAGCACACATGCACACACCAACATAATTTATTTAATTCAATAGTAATTTGAAAAATGTATATTTAGTATGTCAGGTTTCACACCAGCCAAAAGGTTCAATTTTGGTGTCATTTCTCCTTATCTTTCTACTTATTTTTTCTCCTCCTCTCTTTCCCCCTTCTGTGTTGTATTCCCCTAGCACTGATATATTCCAGGAGTCAAGGACTTTTAAGGTATATTTATTCCTGGCAAGGGTAGTGTCTCCTAATTATTCACCTTCTTCAGAAACTTTTTGCAGTTCCTAGATATTTCCATTTAAATATAAATTTTAGCATCCTTTGTCAAAATTTAATGCTTCTCATAAAAATATATTTAGAATGTTGTGATTCCACATATTTATCTTGATGAGAATGACGTTTCAAGATCTTGTTTTTCTCTTCTGAATAAAACATATATTGCATATTTTCTCATGAATATGCATGATATAACATATAAGATAAGTAAAGTTTACTGAGCACATAATATATGCTAAACATAAAAACAAACAAACAAACAAAAAAACCTTCCAAACTTTCCGGGTAGAGTCTCCCAGATGCACTGTAAATTAGTTTTCAGTAGGCAACACCACTATTCTATTCAGCTAATGCTTTTAAGTGATGGATAACATGATCACATCAGTGAATTCTATGAGGGTGAGTGATTTGCTTTATTTATTTACCATAAAAACCTTTATTCTGGTTAGAGATGATGATGAGAGAGTACCGTGATAAAGGACCACAGATCCTATTCCATGAATAACAAAGTCAACTGATGCATTACAGGTAGAAAAGATGCATATTTACTGCAAGTATATGATGACAGGATGCTTCTTCTCCAAGTTGAGGAGTTTCAAAAGAGTAAGCTGCCACAGAATTTTGACTGATTTCTCTAGAGAACTGTGCCCTATTAAGGGGTCAGTGATGGACTTTATTAATGGAATTTTGGACATTCAGCAGAGATAGTATCAGATCTAGATTGATGAAAGGTAAATCCTATTGCACACTGGGCCTACGTAGAACATTCATCTCTCCCACAAGGACCACAAAAGTGGGTAAAAAGACTAACAAATATATGACAGGTCATCTTGTCAACCAGATTTTTGAGCATTTTCTCTTGGGTGGATTCTCTCTGAAAGAAACTGTATATGATAAATAGACACCTTTGCTTTTGGCCCATTCTGTGTGACCCATCCGCATACAACTTCTCTAGATTGCTCTTTCATCTGTTCTTCCAATTTTCCCTTTCCTTCAATAGTTTATCAAACCTGTTTTCACTGTCCATGAGTCAGTGTAAACCCATAACTTAGGCCATTTATCTCCCCATGTGAAATGGAAGAGCATAAGTCAGCTCAAAATTAAGTTTACAGGTAGGATTTTTATAGTGGATGATAATATTCAGCTATTTTTTTGCAAGAAAATATTTATGTTGCATTTAAGTCTTCAAATTCTAGCCATCCATGTCAGATACTTCCATTTATGCGAAAGACTGAGGTGATGGATAGCCTGTAAGGAAATACAGAAAATTTGGCCACTTGAAACTATTTCTAGATTTACTGCTCAGCCATATTTTATTATGTATTCTGTGGTCACACATAGATTCTTGAAGTATCCACAGTTGTTATTGTTGTTCAGTCACAAAGTCATGTCCTACTCTTTGTGAATCCATGGACTGCAGCCCACCATGCTTCCCTATCCCTCACTATATCCCAGAGGAGTTTACTCAACATCATGCCCATTGAGTCAGTGATGATATCTAAAGATTTCATCCTCTGCTGCCCTGGTCTCCTTTGCCTTCATCTTTCCCAGCTTCAGGGTGTTTTCCAATGAGTTGGCTCTTCACATAAGATAGCCAATGTACTGGAGCTTCAGTTTCAGAATCAGTGCTTCCAATGAATATTTGGGGTTGATTTCCTCTAAGACTGACTTGATTTCTTTATGTCCAAGTGACTCTCATGAGTCTTCTCTAGCACCACAATTCGAAAGCATCAATTCTTTTGTGCTCAGTTTTCTTTATGGACCAGCTCTCACATCTGTACATGACTACTGGAAAAGCCATAGCTTTGATTATATGACTTTTGTCAGTAAAGTGATGTCTCTGCTCTTTAATATGCTGTCTAGTTTTGTCATAGCTTTCCTTCCAAGGAGCAAGTGTCTTTAATTTCATGGCTGCTGTCACTGTCCACAGTCATTTTGAGCCCAAGAAAGTAAAGTCTGTCACTGCTTCATTTACCCTCATTGAAAGAACTAATGCTTTTTAAAGACAAAGGAACAACCCCAACAGATAAGTTCTTGAGATAATCGACAAGGGATACTCATTTAAAATTCATGTGGCATCTTTAAACATAGTTAAGGTCTAAAAGAACATATATTTTTCATTGAAGTAAGTATGAATTGATAAAATTAAACTAAAAAAGCACAGCAACTTACTAAAATATACAAAATATATTTGGCTTATGATTAAAACTTGAAAGATGTTCATTGCCCAGTTTGCCAAATAAAAAGGAAAAACATGTAATATATTACAAATAAACTAATGGACTGGTAATCTTGGTTACTGGACTATTATATTTTAATGTATATGTTAAT